TGAAAAGTTTCTGCACATCTAAAGAAATCACCAGCAGAGTCAAAAGAAACCTTACAGACTTGGAAAAAATTTTAGCTGATTGTCCCTCAGACAAAGGGCTTCTATCTTGAACACTAAAGAATTAAAAAATATCAGCCCTCCCAAATTCAAAGACTGAATCCAAAAATGGGCAGCTGAGATGAATACACACTTCTCAGTTCATGAAATACAAATGGCAAATAAATACATGAGAAAATGTTCAACATCAGTTACTTAATACAAATTAAAACAACATTGAGATTCCAGCTTACCCCAGTAACAATGGTTAGCATTAAGAAATAAACCAATAACAAATGCTGGCAAGGCTGTTAGAAAGAGGAACCCTTTTCCGCTGCTGGTGGGAATGCAGACTGGTGAAACCACTGTGGAAATCAGTTTGGAGATTCCTCAGAAAACTAGGTCTCGAGATCCCATTCAACCCAGCTATGCCCCTGCTGGGTATTTTCCCAGAAGATCTAAAAACACCATATCACAGTGATATATGTGCCCCTATGTTCATAGCAGCACAATTCGGAATTGCTAAATTGTGGAAGCAACCCAAATGTCAATCCCCTGAGGACTGGATAAGAAAATTGTGGTACTTTTACATAATGGCATATTACTCAGCTGTAAAGAAAGATAAACTCGAGGTCTTTATAGGTAAATGGTCACAACTAGAGACCATACTCATAAGTGGAATAAATCAGACCTGCATTGTTTCAATAGAGTAAAACCTGAAAGAGTTAATTTAAACTAGGAGGTATGATAGACATTGTGAAATGATAGGAAAACACTCGAGGGTGAAGGGAAACTGGGATGTGGGAAAAGAGAAGGGAAAGAAGGAGAAATTTTGTACGTATGTATACACAGCATAGTTAACATACTTGTTCTATTGTCTTCTATTTCATTGCTGAGAGAAACTATCAGTGAGTCCTTGATCAATCTATATTGCATGTCTACATCTGTTTTCATGAGAAGCTACTTTGATGATATCAATATATATTACAACAAGCATTGTCAATTTCCTACCACTTTGTTTGTAACTCTGTATTGTGTGTACTGCTCTTTTGCTATTTTGTAAAAGGTTGTTTGCCTGTTTAAAAAAAAAGAGAGAAAAATGACAACACAAATATTATACTAAGAAAAATATATTTTGTTTTTGTTATCACAAATTTTTTAAATTCTTGGAATTTCCTTAGCAATAAAGATATTAGAGGTGTCTTTTTCCTCCTTTCAAATATAATTCACTTTATACTAATGAGATGACATTTGGTGTATCCCTAGGTAGCTTCAGAATGGGGGTTTCCTGACAGAAAAATGGGCTTTGATCAGGGAGGTGAGGGTGGGTGGGTATGAGCTGAATCAATAATAATAAATAAATGATGCTTTCATACAAACCTCTAAACTACAGTTTTGTGAGCTCCCAAGTAGGTGAACATATTGAATTTTGAGAAAGTAGCACATCTAGAAAAGGATATGGGCACTCTGTACACCTCCCATCATACCTTTTCCTATGCATATCTTTTGTTTGCTTTTTCCTAAACTGTCCTTCATAATAAAGAAGTAATAGTAAGTGAATTACTTACCTGAATTCTGTGAGTCATTATAGCAAATTATTGGTGTTCTGGAGACATCCTGGGAAACTTCAAATTTGTAGTTGGTTCAGAAATATGATCAGTCCAGCAAATCCCTTTGAAACTGGTATCTGAAGGGGTGATAGTTTTTGGTGACTGAACCTTTCACCTGTGGGGTCTGTACTTGCTGTAGGAGTTGGTACCAGAATTGAAATTTGGATTGCTAGTTGGTGTTGAAGATTAGAGAATTGGTTGGTGTAAGGAAAAGTCCAATACATTTGGTGTAAAAACATTTCATAGTCACATGGGAAATATCCACAGTGGTGATAAGAGCCATGTCTGTGGTTGATTGACTGCCTGTGGAAACACATGAGTACCTAACAGCATGACAGGAAGTGGGATTGCTCAAGGGATGCACTGAGATATTATAATATAATTGTTAAAGGAAAATTTCTATTTGACATCTATGTAAGAAAATTATGATGATTTCCAGAATGAGTCAGGAATGACTTCTGGGTTGGGTTTTCCCATGTTTCTGCTGATTATTCATTTGTCATTTGTCCATTCAATAAAAATAATTGATTTTCTGTTACACATTAAACATTTAAAATATAGCACTTATAGGCAAAGTCTTAGCTTTCAGAGAGCTTATTATCTAAAAAGTAGGAGCTACAAAAAAAAAAGTAGGAGCTACCTTGAGCTGATAATTAAATGCAGGAAATGAAAGATGACTTTTAAAAAGTTGTTATGACAGAAGTTCCCGTGAATATATAAGGAAAAAATCAAATTTCAGAATAAAAACTGTTGAGGAATAATTTAGCTGTCCTGCATTTTGTGATTTTTTTCCTTCATAAAACCATATCATTCCTTTGCTAAATTCATACGTAGGAGGGAGAACAGGGAAAGTTCTTCCTCTTCGATGAAATGAGATTATGAAGAATCATAGTGCATAGTCTACTTTAAGATATATAGTATGAGGATAATGGTTATTTTGATTTTCTGGGATCATTACAAAGTATTATCTGTTTTAGAAATTAATCTTACTTGAGGGTCCATTACTATATTTCACCTATTCCTAAATTTCTCCAGGTGTTAATTTTCATCAACTTTCTTTTCAGATTCTTATGAATTAGTGTTTTCTCTGAGCATATATTTACTTCATTGTTATTTTTCAAATTTTCTTAAAACAACAAAGTAAGCAATGACTGCATAGTACAGAAGATTGATATGGCCTGTTGACTATCATGATCTCTGATTTCAGAAGTATTTCAACCCCTCACCATCTATTTCCCTTGGAACACGTGTTGCAGGTTGAAAAAGGAAGACATACTTCATGCAGGCAAAATTGGTTATTTAGCAAAATCTTCAACTCTTAAAAAAAAACCAAAAGACAACTTGTATATCTCTGTAGGGACATTCTAAATTTGGACCCCTTACTTTGACTGATAATTTTGTGAACACTCAGAGGGACAGACAGATCTAGAAATGCTTAACCAGTTTCTTGGCTTGTCACAAAAGACAAATTGATCACTTCCTTTTGTTTGAGCCTATTGAAAACTCTACATTAATATGTCTTCACTGGGTGGAATTGGTCTCTTTACCCTTGAAGACAGTTTTGAAAGTATGAAATTCTGCACCTGTAGTCATTTCTGGCTGCTTTTCCAAAAAAGACCAGGGAATTACAAATTACAGAATTATATGCCTTGCACAAAAGTTTAGCAATATGGCCTCATGCAGTCTTTACATTAAACACATCAGAAGTTAAAGAAAATGAAAATAAATTAAATAGTAAATATTAAAATATGGTGTCACTCAGTAAATATGGAGGTAAGGGTTGTACAGTCATTTGCTTAGTGTTTTCATGTTCCAATGTGCCTGCTTTTAGTTATTTCATGTATATTCTTAGAGTCTGAATACTATGCACTGAGACTAATGATTATTTATTTAAAGTTGTGCTTATCTATATTAGCTCAAATAATGAAATATTTGCAAATAATTTAGACAGTGGTGCTGTTGATCAACATAACTTCCTTGGGAACTAATTGCATTGTGTGGTGGTGTAGTGGGTTGACTGTGGGAAATGGAAGGTACTTACAGGATCTCTTACTTAACTTTCTACAGTCTGCCTAGGGACTTCCAGTCTCATTGGAGGTTTGCATACTCATGTGACATTAGTTATATTTGTAGCTATTGACTGAGAAAATACATAGTAAAAATATTAATGTGACATGTAAGTTAATAAATGAAGAAATGGAAGTCATGTTAGGAAATCAGTATCTTACAGTGCAGTAGAGTAGTGTTAATAGATGTTGAAAGTAACTGGCAAAGGTAAGTCAAGAAAGGAAATTTACATGGTCTTCAATTACCATCCCATAGGTTACTATCTTATAAAGAGAAAAATAAACTTTTGCAATGAAAATATCTGCCTATAATCATGTTAATCAAATGGTCAAACAACCTTAATATATCTAATAGTGCCTCCTGATTGAATGGAATAAGTACATAGTTTTACCGCTGATCTACTTTTGCAAAAAATGTTTTAGCTGAGTTTGTTGAAGCATCAATCAGATAATCCATTATGTGGAATATTATAGAAGATTGTGGGACTGATTTATAAAAAAATCAGTGACATGAAAACAAATGTTAACTGAGAAAAATATTTTATGAAAGAAAATAGACAAAGGCATGCCTTGAATTTTGTTTAGATTTGAGGTCATGCTTTTAAATATATTTTCAGACAACTGGTAAGCTTTAAACATATCAGTTTCTCCTTGTTTTAGTATTAATTTTAATAGCTTTGAGAATCATACTGTGGTTATTACTCAAAGGGTATAGTTTATATTAGGTATTTTTTTGCTGTTATATAAAGTCCCAGGGGTTTAAACAAATGTGTAATGATATGTATCCATCATTATAATGTCTTCATACTTTCACTGTCCTAAAATTTTTCCATGCCACGTCTATCCATCTTTTCCTTACCCACATTCCTGGCCACTACTGCTATTTTATTGTCTCTGTAGTTTTCCTTTCTGAGAATGTTAATTGTTAGAATCTTACAATAGGTAGCCATTTCAGACTGTTTTTTAAATTTGCTAACATACATTTAAGTTTACTTCATATCTTTTCCTAGTGTGGTAGCTAATTTCTTCCTAAATGTTGATACGCTCTTGTGATACACGAGTGAAACAGCTTGTTTATCCAATCAGGAATTTTAGGACAGTGAAATTTCTAAGGTACTACAGTGGATACATACCCTTACATGTTTGTTCAAACACATGGACTGAGTAGTATAGTAGGAGTATAGCCTAATGAGTAGTATACAGTAGTATACTGTATGAGTAGTATTCAGTAGCACACAGTAGGAGTATAGCCTAATGTAAACTATGACTTTAAATAATAATCGCCCTGAAAGACATTTTGGTTGCTTCCAGTTTCGGGCAATTATGAATAAAGCTGCTAAGCATCTATAAAAGATAAGTAGTAAAGGGTATCATTGCTAGGTTTTCTGTCCTTCAAAGGCTGTGCCATTTTGTATTCACATCAGCAATGAATGATGTTCCTGTTGGTCTGAACCTTCCCCAGTATTTGGCATTGTAAGTATTACAGATTTTCACCTTTTCTAATAATGTGTAGTAGCAGGTCATTGTTTTATTTTTATTATATTTTGATTTTTAAATATGCAATTTATTGTTCATTTTACCTTTCCTCAATATAAGAGATTTTTTTAATTTTAAAGAGACAAAAAGGAGACAGAAAGACCAATAAAAATGATACAGAATTTCAAAACAAGATGATAGGAAATTAACAATGGTTGTTATACTGCATATTGTTATCTTCAATGTAGTTGCTCAATTACCAGGTACAGACCTTTAAAACTGATCAAAAAATATAAGCACTGGCTTCCTTTCAATGAACTAATAGAAATTAGTAGTACAATTATTGTATCTATCTTGTGTGTATATATACATATCATTTTTGCCCTTCCTTCTTTTCTCTTTTTCCCTATCCCAGTTGTTCTTTCCTTTTGAGCAGTTTCTTTCCAATTCACTATATCTGTTGTACCTTTTGGATCTTTTTACTCTTTTAGTTTCTTACAGTAGGGAGATAATCCAATGTTTACACATGTGATTCCAATTTATAAAATATCTTTTCCTTTTACATCTTAAATCTCTTATGTTTACTTGTTTATGCTATTATATTTTCTAGTTTCACATTCTTTTCTGAAATTATTCTTTTATTTATAATCTCTCCTGAACTTTATCACCTAATTTTTGAGTTTTAATTTTGATTTTGTTTGATCCTTCTTGTCTTTTATCACTTTTATCTACTGTGTTAGTTCATTTTGAAATACTATATTTTTAATAACTTTTTGGATAATTCTTTTATGATATGCTTTCACTGTAGCAATTCATTTTTCCCAGTTATAAAGTAGGGGTAATAGTTCCTAACCCTTATACATCCAACTCTAAAGACTAGAGTACATTTTAAACTATGTGGATGTGCAAAGCACTACGTAAATGAACAGCATGTATAAATGCACAGTTTAGGAAGTCTAGCGATTTATTCTCTTCTGCATGCTCACTTGGCAAATCCTCAGAGCAGCTTTCTGGTAGTGTTGACCTACACTAAAGATTGTGCACCTTGCTTATTTTTTCCTTTTTTAGATACTTGGTATGGAGTTGACATAATTTCTTTTTTCTGTTCATTTTTATAAGAATTTTTTCTAAAAGTTTTAGGTGGCTTAATGTAACTTTTCTAATTTCACACCATATAACCAATTATATTGTTTTGTGTAGTTTTTTAATAAAAAAAAAATCTGCAGATTTATTTTCTAAGATCCTCTGGTTTTGTTTTCATCCTTGTTCCCTTTTTCTATTTTCTTTGTATTCATCAATTTGGTTTTCTTTCCTAGCATTTACTCTTTGGCATTCAACTTCATCCTGGAAAGAGGCTTTAGAGGTTAATTCTAAGACTCCATGGGGAATAGTTTCTTCCAAACATACAGCAGGGCCCTTAAGCTCACCCACTCCTGTCTAAGCAAAACCTATCCAATGTTAGCTCCAGTTTGCACATTGGCCTTGTGCAACTCCTAATGACTTCCTATTGGATATTTTAGAATGTGTAGGTTTATAAGACTCCTTTTTATTTTATTTATTTATTTATTTATTTATTTATTTATTTATTTATTTTTGGTTTTTCTCCGGTACCGGGAACCGAACTCACGACCTTGCGCTTGCCAGGCAGGCGCTTTTGCCGCTGAGCTAAATCCCCAGCCCCCTATAAGACTCCTTTTTAATTTTCTGCACTTTTTCTGGCACAAAAGGTATTCATGTTTTGTAGCTATTAAAGGTCTGCTTATACCTGCCTGTGTTTTAGAATGCATAAGGACATTTTGTCACCTAAATTTGTTGATGTTGATCATCTGGTATAGTTTGCCCTTCTAGTTGTTTGCCTGCTTTTTATGGTGAGATTTAAGGAGATTCAAAGACATACAGCCACTGCCTCCATCTTCTTTATATAAAATATCATGTTCAAGAACGTACAATGAAACTAACGTAATTGAATCATTTATGGAGCTAGTTTCAATGAACAGATGGTTTTGTAATAAATATTTTTGTACCGTATGAGTGTTTAGAGACGTCCTTTAGGTAAGACTAATTTATCCAGCACCATTATCTATGAATTCTTAGGAAACTAGTTGAGTTGTTTCATGGAATGTTTGTTTTTTCCTTCCGGTGAACCCTCCAACCTCTAAAGCTTTGCATTTTTTTTTTTCCAAATAAGAAAGAGCAGCAGTTCTATATCTGTATTATGGACATGGATGCTCCCCTATTACAGCAATCTTACTTTTCATAATCATGAACCATTCTCTGTTTCCTAAATCTCTTCACTTTTGGAAATATTTTGTTTCTATGAATTTTGTTTCTAACACTGCTTTCAGTTTGCTGTTATAAACATCCTTTGGCTGTATAAGCAGTGAGGAATCTTAAATTTTACTCTCTTGAAAGGTATCTTTGCTGAACTTCAGAGATTGTAGTATTGAAGAAAAACCTGGTGGTTGATTAAAAATAACACATTATATAAAAAAGAGAGCAAAGATGCACTAAAAAACTTAGAAAAAGAAGTTTAGCTATATTTTTAAATACATGCATAATTTTCTAGTTTAGACATTACTGCAAAAAAGAAAAAAGTAAAACTTAACAGTATTGTACATCTTTTATCCATTATCCTTTCTTTAGTGTATCCTTAGGATGCAGATTTGGCTTGCATTCTAATTTTATTCTCTACTAAAATGATGCAAATCACACTGGAGTCATTTGATTCTTGCCTAAGGGTATGGACAAAAATCACAATATTTAATTGCACAATATTTAAATTATTCTATTAGAAGGCAGTAAGACTTTCAAAGATATCAGGGGCAACAAAAAGTGCTTCAGTCTGGTTAAGGTCACTGCCTATGAGTATCAAATAATGATAGTAATACACTTAGAAATTCATATCCCTAAAGGGCCATAAATTTGTAATAATATCCTAAGCAAAGGTAGCTATTATATAAAATAAGTTTATATATACTTCCATATTAAAAATTTTAGTGGTATTTATAGTAGGGAACTTGTTGCATGTAATTTTCACTACCGTTGTAAAATAGATGTATTTTAATAAGGTATAGGTATAATTTTTTCTGCTCATGTAAGCAGAAAAGAAACCACGTACGAAATAGGAACTCTACCAAAAATAGGAGATGCTAACTAGCACTTTCAGTCTTATGAAATAACCACTAATTTCATCACAAAAGTTAATCAGATCTCCTGGTTAAGATAAATATTTCAAAAAATTTGTCTCCAGTGAAATAAATTAGCTCATTATCCTAAAGAAGTTAGCTATTCATTGGGCCCTAAACTCTAGATGGGCCCAATAATTGAACCAGAAATTTTGGTAAGAAATATATACATTTCAATGTCAACAGACTAGGTCCAGATATCATAGTGAAAAGACTATAGATTAGGGACTAGGATAGCCAAAAGTTTACAAATACAGCATTTTCAGGAAAGATTGAGTTTCAAAACTTTGAAACTTACATTTATTTTATTTTTAAATTTTATTTTAAAGAAAAAATAAAAATAATAATACACAATTTCAAAACAAGATAATAGGAGAATAATAATGGTTAATATATATTGTTATCTTCAAATTAGTTGCTCAGATTACAAGATATAGGCATGCATAATTGATCAGGCAATATAAACAGAAATCATTTTTTCAGTGAACTAAAAGAAGTCAGTGGTATAACTATCTTATCTTTCTTATGTATGTATCTATTTTCTTTTCCCTTCCTTTTTTTTCTCCTTTCACCCATCCCAGTTGTTCTTTCTTTTTGAGTGGCTTTTTTCCCTTTCACAATATCTATAGTAGATTTTGGGTCCTATTTACTTTTTCAGTTTCTTATACTAGGAAGACAATATAATGTTTATATATGTGAGTTTGATTTATTTCATTTATGAGTATGGTCTCTAGTTGCACCCATTTACCTATAAAAACCTCGTTTGTCCTTCTTTATAGTGGAATAGTACTCCATTATATAAAAATAATATGTCTTTTTTATCCATTCCTCAGTTGATGGGCATTTGGTTGTTTCAAGATTTATCTATGACAAATTGTACTGCTATAAACATGGGTGCACATATGTCACTGTGGTATGATGTTTTTAATCCTTCTGGGAAAATACCTAGAAGGGGGATGGCTGGGTCAAATGGGACTTCTAATCCTAGTTTTTTGAGGAATCTCCACACTGATTTCCACAGTGGTTGCACCAATCTGTACTCCTACCAATAGTGGAGGAGTACACTTAACCTGGAGGAGTTCCCTTAACCCTGCCAGCATTTGTTATTGGTTAATTTCTTAATGATGGCCATTTTTCTTCTGGGGTGAGATGGAATCTCAGTGTTTTAATTTGCATTTCTTGAATGACCAATGATGTTGAACATTTTTTTTCATGTATTTATTTGTCATTTGAATTTCTTTATCTTAGAAGTGTGTATTCATCTCAGATGCCCATTTTTGGGTTGGGTCTTTGAATTTGGGGTGTCTGATTTTATTTAGTTCTTTATATGTTCTAGGTAAAAGTCCTTTGTCTAAGGGACAGTTGAGTAAAACTTTTTCCCACTCTGGGTTTTCTTTTTGCTCTGTTGGTGATTTCTTTACTGTACAAAAAACTTTTCAATAAGATGAGACCCCAGTTATTGATCCTTTGAAGTACTTCCCGTGCAGTTTGGTTTTTGTTCATCAACTCTGCCTACTCCTATGTCTTCAAGATTTCTAGCTACTTTCTCTTCCAGTAGATTTAGTGTTCTGTTTTAAAATTTAGATCTTTGATCCATTTTTACTTAGTGCATGGTGATAGTTTCTACTTCCACTTAGTTTTGATTATTGAAAAGTGTGATTCTGGAAACTGACAATTTCCATTTTCTCTGATCCAGAAAGAGCCCACTATGGTGAAATGAGAATGATGCTTCGAGGAAAGTTGGTTGTGAGTGAGTGAATTGAGATGCTTAATAATGTTTGAGTCTCTCTCTGGTCCTAGCTCCTGAACTTTCAGGAGTTGTCTTGTCCTTAGAGCAAATTATTCCAGTTTGAGGAATGTATTATTTACTTCTCTTCACTAAACCTCTCCTTTTGTGTCTTGCTCTGTGATCATGGATCTGGACTTGACAGAGTTTTTGTTCTTTGCCAATTGGCTTGATATTAATCTCTGCCATCAGGTGTTGCTGACGGTGATAGTAAGACTAGAGAAGGAAGAAGGAGCTGTATTTTTCTTGTTATGGCTTATGTCTAGGTGTCCTCCTACCCCCAAGCCTCATACTGTCATATGTTGGGTTTTTCAGAGGTGTCAGGGTCTGGAGTGTATGGTGCTGGAATTAAGAGTGTGTGATAACTAAATTAGTTCACTGATTGGTTTAGCATAGTTCTGGGTAGAATTAAGGGTGTCCTACCCTTGGTGTGAGTGCTACTTGCCTGCTGAGTAGACTGAGCACAATATAAAAGGGGCAGAAATAATCTGTCCCTCATTTTCTGTTGCTTGCTGCTTGGATGCTTTTGTTGCCTTCTGCCCACCATGAGCTGTTTCTTCCCTGTGATGCCCCTCTGCTATGCCACCCTGTTTTGGCAGCAGCAAACTATGGACTGAAACCTCTATGAACTGTGAGCAAATAAGCCTTTTCCCCTTTAACTGTGGGTGTCAGTTACTTTGTCTCAGCAAGGAGAAAAGTAACTAAAATGCTTCCTGTTTGTTCTTTTCCCATCACAACAGTATAAGATGGATACTCTTGTTATTCCCATTTTGCACATGGGAAACTAGACAGAAAAACAATGAAGTAACTTGCCAGTGGTTATACAGATGTAAATAATGGTGGGTTCTTTAACTCATATGTACATCTGATGCCAAATCCCAGCTTTCTGCCACTAAACTGTACTATTTACATGGGTAAAACACTCTTATTAGGATTACTGTTATAACTAAAACTCATGTGATATATTGTCTGTTGCCCACTATATTGGCCAGTTTTTTCACTGATATACTTAAATACTCAAAGCTAGGTAACATAAAAAAAACATATTTACTTAGGACTCAGTTTTGGAGGTTGAAAATCTGACTTGGTAGTCCATTGATCTGACCTGTGTTAGGTTCCTGTTGGCTGTGTTCTACCATGGAGAATGGCATGATGGCAGGAATGCCTACAAGAGGAAGAGATCATTGATAATACAGGAAGCCAAAGAGTGGGGAGGGGCCAGTCTTTCTCTTTTATAGCAACCCTCACAGAATTAGCCATGGTTCCAAAAGAATCAGATTAATTTCTTCAGAGGACAGCAAACCTCAGCGACCCAATTACTCTTAACTAGAGCACTCCTTGAAAGGTCCACCACCTCCACACTACCACACTGAAGACCAAGTTTCCCAGAAACCCTTGGGGGAAAAACCACATCCAACTATAACACTCCCTAAATTGGTAGAATGCTAGAGATGGTTTGTGTGAGTCCACAAGTGCAAATTGGGTGTATTTTTCCCAGCCTTGTGATCACTGAAATGTTGATAGCTTCAAGTTGGCTATATTGGTTATTGTTTACACTATGGAAATAGGTAAACAGTACAAGCTAGTTTTCTTTTCTATAAGACTGGTCATGAAATATATACCAACACACCACTGCTCCAATCTCTTGGATTTTTTATGGTACTAAGGGAATATATTGTTTTCTATCCATTTTACTTTGTTGTAAATTGAATCATTCTTACTGCTTTTGCTCCAGTATTTGGAGATTTCTACAGAATAATTAAATTTTATGAAGTTCCATGTTGTCTTCATATATAAGTCAAGTTTTATGAGAATAAAATAGTCAGAGAATCTTCTAGGAACCCTACTTTCTCTTAAGCACCAGCTTATTGATTCTATTGCTTATCATTTTTGAAAAACTTCAACATTTCTGAATTGCTATTGTCACTCTTTTTGCCTCAAGTGTATGTATATAAATATGCCTCAAGTGTATGTATATATATATATGCTTATATATTACTAGTTACTGGGATTGTATTTACTTTCCATCAGCAATTTTCTAAATATTATTTATACATAGTACATAATTTTCTCCAGTGAAATTCATATTATCATTAGATTATCCATTGATATTAGGATTATTTGTTCTGTACAATGATTGTTTTTATTGTCAGAGAAGAATCCCAAGTTTATAGGGTGAAACTTCTGCAATGATATAAATGCCAAAGGTATTCTTTAGAGCACAGTAAATCGTAAAAGGTAGTTTTTTTTTTACTACCATTTGGTAGTAAAAGATGTAGAGAGGGTGTTTTTTTAGAGCATAGTAAATAGTAAAAGTATAAACATGATAGAATTATTTTCTTTGCTCCAAGAACCCCAGACAAAGCAGTGATCACAGTATGCAGTAGTTTGAGCCAAGGAAAGGGGAACACAGGTCAAAGTATTCAGTACTTTCTATAACAAACAGGAAATAAGCTATTCACTTCTTGGGAAGCAAGCCACAACATGATCAATCTGTGGTTGCTGTGACCTAGTTTATTCTCCCATGTAACTGCTATGGAAATTTCTCATTGTCCGCTAGGGGACGGTAGGCATTGGCAAAGTCAGCAAAGATATACAGAATCACTCAGGGTCCAGGACAAGCTGTCTCTCTCTCTCCAATCTATCCATTGACCCTACACATTCCTAGTCAAACTCAAGTTTTAACATGAATATATCACCCTGCCAGTAATGCCAATTAGCTATTCTGACAGGAACTGGCACCACTTCATTCAATTCATCTCACATTATACTTAGGACATTATCAACAGAATCCTGATCAGCAAGATGAGTCCAATCTGCCTTAGCCATGTACTCCAGCATCCCTGACGCAGCCTAGTGAGTAAGACCCAGAGAAGACTACTAGGTCTTATTTCAGATAAATATTTAGCTTCTCTTCTTATAATAAGTGGATTGTCCCATTTGACTGGTGCTATTAATTCACAAGATGGGGAGTAGGTGATCATATAAACTCTTCCGTATTCAGCCAGGATGCAGTTCAATGCCAGTCTTTCGTCTACTATAACCCATATAAGAAGGTTTAGAGCTACTTATCTCTAGGGCTTAAGCCATGTCATTGGCTGTAAGTGTTTGTGTTTATTGTCTGTCTGGACTCTGATGCCAAAGAACTGTATTCACACTGCTGTATGGAGCCAGAAGTCAGTATATTGCTAGTCACATCCATCTTTACCCTTTGTCCCTGCAAATGGAATATAGATTAAAAAGTGGTGTCGGTAATTATAGAAGGCAACAGATGAACCAAAAAAACCCTCTGACCTCAGTGGCAGATATTTCATGGTTCACTGTATTTCACATGTATCATATAGTTCAAAGGTCAAGGAGGCTGCAGTTCAGGAATTGCCACTGAACTCTATTTGGATTAAAATTACATGAGCATGAAAAAAAAATTACATGGGTTTCATTTAGCCTTGTGGGCAGTGTTGACAAGTAGACATAGACTCAATTGCCATAATGGTATATCCCACATTGCTTAGACTCCAGGAAACATACATGAATACATAATCACATTGCCAAAAGATTTTGACAATCCATGTCTGTCATGTATGAGGGGGAGGTGGTCCACATTGGGAGCTCTTGAAGATAGTGTCAAACACAGCAATATAATTCATGGTCATGCTAATATGACTTTTCCTGTTCCCATCGCAGGTGGATGAGGATGACAGTCCAAGTAGTGAGTCAGATTGCTGGCACAGATGCTGCTTGACTCAGGAAGAGTATCTGATTATTTTGCCAAACTGTAGGGTCAGACTTAGAAACAAGAGAACATTAATTTTCCTCCCAACAGTGCTTAGAGGTTGAGGTCAGCCCTCCTTGGGTACCAGAGTTGTTTTTCTCTATTCATAGTCAAAAAGTCAAAGCCACTTCTCCCTTTGCCTAGTCTGATAGATCAGGTGTCATGGATGCTAGACCACAGTGATAAAACTTGTACTGAATGAAGATGCCTCTATTGCTGCCCAAGTAGACAACTGTAGGGTTACAGTAGGATTTGCAAATTCTATAAGTTTCTCATTATTCTGATGGCCTGTGGTCCATTATACTCAGTAACTGAAACCAGGTATAGTTTAAGCAACAAGTTGGAGTTCCTTCTGTTCTACAGTTTAATTGCCACCCTGACATGAAATGAATCAAGGTCGATAGACACTGGAGTCAACAGTGGGGAAAAACAAGGATGGGTTGGATCTTGTCAGATTATCAGAATCACAGATATGGAAAGCTGGCCCCTGCTTCCTAGTCTGTCATGCTTTCTCTCAAGCAGTGATCACAAAGAGCATTCTCCCTTGCCCAGAACATCAGCATTTGTTTCCCTTACTATTTCACTCAAGTATTGGTTCACAATATGACAAACTATTCTAGCAATATCCATCCCCCTTCTGGATGATGTCAACAGCCTTAGGATATTAGGTAGTGGCATATCTATTGAATGGCATTTCCATTTGCCTATTCTTTATCTTTGCTATGAGTAGGATGCTACTCTATTGTTGAAAATAGCCTGGATGTCAAAAAACATACTACAGCTTAGTCTCCAAGGTTGCTATAGTCTGACTGTAGTTTTAATAACTTCCATTGGTTTCTGGGCACCAGTGGTAGCAACAAGATAGTACCAGGTACTTATGCAGTCTATTTGCCAGGAGTGGGTAGGTGTCTTTGTGTTATGTACCTTCTGTGGGGTACAAGATGTCTGATTCTATGGAGACAGACAAAGATTAGATATTAGCTTCCATATTATTAAAAGTTGCCAAATGGTGGTACAGGGGCACAAGTTCAAGCAGCAAAGATGCTGAGGGAATCATTGGTTCTAAGGAAGAAACTTGTCTCCTTCAAGTAGAGAAGGAAGTATATCCATGGTGGAGTCTGGTTGTATGGAGGCACTTTTTGTTCCACTGGAAGCCTCTGTGGTGGACTATAATGTAGTCATTGAAATGGAAATGCAAAGTAGAAAGCCTTATTGAGGAACATGATTCTGTCTCTTCTGGGTATCCTTCATTGGCTGAAAACATGTGTTCAAGAGTGCACTGGCTGAGCTACTGCAATTTATCTTCTCAGAATGTAGCTTCTTTCATTCCTTCATCACACAGATGCATAGCTGCACACAGATGTCTCCAATAGATCTTTAGTCCATTGACAAAAATAGACCTGAAGTTCCCTCCTCTCCTTCTCTCTGTGGCACCACATCTTAGTACTCTGGTTTGGGGGCTTGCTGCCCTTCAGCTACAGTTCTAGTTGTGACTGTTAAAGCATGTTGTGGTTGCATTTTGCTCCTTGCTAGAGCTTGGAGTGCTTTCCTGCTTGACTGTTATATAGGAGAGCAAGAAGATCTTCAGCAGCATGTTTTGGTCCTACTTCTAATCATTCAGGCTCTATTCATTAATTCAACTCCATCTCATCAATAGGTGTGAAAGTGTGGGATTATTTGCTCTCCTTGGATGAGAGAGTTGCTTTTGGCTTCCTGGGAGTTTTATTATACACCTCAACCAGGCCCCCAAGATCTTGTCTTTTGGATAATTTCATTGCCTGTCTTGGCCCCTGGGTTGCTTTTTTGTAAGGAAAAAACTACAAAATTTCATTACAAAATAATAGAACACCAATAGTTAATGCATTGCATTTTGTTATCTTCAAAGTAGTTACTCAGAGTACAAGACATGGGCATAAAAAACTCTCCAAATGATATTAGCACAAATCTTTCATTTAAATGAACTAATAGAAACTAATAGTATAAATATCTTGTATATTTTCCTTTTCCCTTCCTTCTTTTCCCCTTTCCCCTATCCTTGTTCCCTTTCCTTTTGAGCAATTTCTCCCCATTTCACAATATCGTTTTTACATTTTGGTCCTTATTTACTCTTTCAGTTTTTCACACCAAGAGGACAATACAATGTTTACACACTTGAGTCTGATTTACTTCACTTATGAGTATCATCCCAAGTTGCATCCTTTTTACCTATAAATTCCTAAAGTTTATCATTCTTTATGGTAGAGTAGTACTCCATTGTATACAAGGACTACACCTTTTTTTCTAAATCTATTTCTCAGTTGATGAACATTTTGCTTGTTTCCAATATTTAGCTAATACAAATTGTGCTACTATAAGCTGGGTGCACATATATTGCTGTGGTATAAATGTTTTAA